TTCCGGATTTTTCAAGAACTTTTAAGTTAGAATGTGATGCCTCTAGGGTTGGCATAGGGGCAGTTTTGTTACAGGGTGGGCACCCAATTGCTTATTTCAGTGAAAAACTTAAAGGTACCTCCCTTAACTACCCTACTTATGACAAAGAGCTCTATGCTTTAGTTAGGGCCCTTCAAACTTGGGAACACTACCTTATTCCCAAAGAGTTTTCCATTCATAGTGACCATGAGTCACTAAAATATTTGAGGGGTCAAGGCAAACTCAATAAAAGGCATGCTAAATGGGTAGAGTTCTTGGAACAATTCCCATATGTGATCAAATACAAGAAAGGGAAAAACAATATTGTGGTTGATGCCCTTTCTAGGAGACATACTTTGCTAGTCTCCCTTGGATCTCAAATCTTGGGATTTGATCACATTAAGGAGTTGTATTCTAATGAATCTGAGTTTAATGAATCATATACCCATTGCTTAGTTAAGTCTCAAGGAGGTTTCTATGTTTCTAAGGGGTACTTGTACAAAGAAGGAATAATATATATACCCCAAGGTTCCATTAGAAAACTCCTTATCAAAGAAAGTCATGAGGGTGGTCTCATGGGGCATTTTAGAGTTGAAAAGACTCTAAAATTTCTAAAAGAAAAATTCTTTTGGCCCCACATGAGAAGGGATGTTGAGAGGTTTTGCTCTAGATGTATAGCTTGCTTGCAAGCAAATTCTAAAGTAATGCCTCATGGCTCCTACACACCCTTTCCATTTGCTAACTCTCCTTGGGTGGATATAAGTATGGACTTTATACTAGGCTTGCCCAGAACCTAGAGAGGCATGGATTCTATCTTTGTGGTAGTGGACAGATTTAGTAAAATGGCCCATTTTATACCATGCCACAAGATAGATGATGCAAGCAACATAGCAAGACTCTTCTTCAAGGAAGTGGTTAGACTTCATGGTCTACCCAAGACAATTGTGTCAGATAGGGACACTAAGTTCCTTAGCCATTTTTAGAAAACTCTTTGGAGTAGGCTAGAAACTAAGCTACTTTTCTCAACTACTTGTCATCCCCAAATTGATGGGCAAACAGAAGTAGTTAATAGATCAATATCTACCATGTTAAGGGCAGTCCTTAAAGGTAACCATAAATCTTGGGATGAGTACTTACCCCATATTGAATTCGCTTATAATAGGGTAGTCCATAAGACTACCAAAATCTCACCTTTTGAGATTGTTTATGGTTTTAACCCTCTCACTCCTTTGGACCTAATACCCCTACCAGATTCTTCTCATTATTTTCATAAAGAAGGGGTATCTAGGGCTGATTTTGTTAAAAAGTTACATGAGAAGGTTAAAATTCATATTCAACAACAAAATGAGAGAACTGCTTTAGAAAGAAGCAAAGGTAAGAAATACCTCATTTTTGAGGAAGTAGATTGGGTTTGGCTTCATTTGATATAGGAAAGGTTTCCTTCTCAAAGGAAGTCTAAACTCAATCCAAGAGGAGATGGTCTTTTTCAGGTCCTTCAAAGAATCAATGATAATGCTTACAGGTTAGATCTTCCTAGTGATTATGGAGTAAGTAACACTTTTAATGTCAGTGATCTTATTCATTTTGCAGGTTATGATGAGGAGGTCGAACCTACATATTTGAGAACAAATCCTTCTCAAGAGGGAGGGATGATAGACCATGGGCCAAGGGCCCAATCACTAGAGCTATGGTCAGGAGCATACAAGAAGAGTTGGAAATCTTAAAGACTAGTGGGCTTTCTACGCCCAAGGTACTCTTCACTTGGACTACTTTATCATGAAGAGAAGGCTTAGTTCTACTTGTGTATAGTTTGTACATAGTTCTCTTATATAGGCTTATTTTTGCCTTTGTATTTGTGAGGCACTTTATTTCATTCTTATTAGTCATTGTATAATGTTTCTAGGGTAGGTTATTTGGGAACTTAGACTCCATTTAACCTAACCTTGAAGTACACTCATTTTCTATTTTTTCAGTAGTAGAAGTGGGGTGACATTTAGCAATGCTTGAGGGTGTAACTAGTAATTGGGCTAGAATTAGGCCTAAACAAAATTTTACATATTGGACTCATTTTGCTCCTAATTTTTCATAGATTTGATTTAGCTAGGTCTCATCATTTTTGGGCGAACCTAACTAAACCAAATCAAACATTTTTTAAATAATCAAAGTGAGAAAATGAACCTTTGGCCGCCCACCTTGCCTAGTCTCCTTTCTTTGGCCAAATTGCTCTTCTCTTCTTAAAGCTTTGAGAAGCTTGTGCTACAAGCTTCTCCTTAGCTTGCTTCCCAAGCAAGCTAAGTGAGAAGCTTGCTCCACAAGCTTCTTAACTAGCTTGGACAGTCAAGCCAACCAAACCATGGTTCCTAGTGAACCATGGTTCCTAGTGAACCATGGTTAAGGTTAGCTTGCTCCCTAAGCTACCTCCTTCTATATATTTGTAATTCTAACTCTTGCTCTCACTTTTGACATATACGAGAATAAGAATTAAGAAATTCTCTATCAATCAAGAGTCCAAAATCGTGGAGAATCTCCTTCTCCCAGAAGCTTCACAAAGAAACTTCTCCTTTGTGCTTGGTTCCTCAAGTTTCTCTCCTTCAAGAGAAACCGAACCACCATTGTTGCTTCTTCAAGCTTTTTGAAGCTTGAAACTCCTTCATTCCTTCATTGTGTGAACAACCTCAAGCGAATAAGGGACTTGGACGATTCAACTTGAAGAAACGTCAATCTCCTTCAAGTAGTTCCATCACCGACACAATTGTCGAAAACCTTGCATAGTAGCCCAGCTGTTAGGATGAAGCGGCATTAGCACCACGTTTAGAAGAAGAAGAACACCTACGAAGAAATCATCAAAGGGGAGAGTCACTCCCAGGTCCGAGAAAAAATAATCATATACATAAAAGTATTGATATTTACAGTTCCTTTGATCCAAAAAGATAAAGTCAGGGTTCGGCCCCCATCGTTCTGGCAAGGCTGAAAGAAGATGGGTGATGGCTCCTCATCAGGCAGAAACTTCACAAACTTCTCAATAGAAACCAATAGAGCTAAAGAATTCCTATCGGTATAACGAGAGTATACACTTCCCACCTCCCTGTGTACCCACTTATAACCTGGAACTTGAATGGGAGGGAAACGGAGAGATGTCGATCCAACCTTGTGCATGCACGGATGACCCTCAGACACAAAAATAGACGATGACTGCCCCCACTCTCGGCGCGCTCGAACTCTTGAATGATTGCAACACTCCTTGAGTTATTCAATGCCAAAGCCAAAGCACCAGACCTAGTAGAGGACGAACTCAATCTAGACTCGACAAAACTTGCCCTCGTACCCCTGGAGGAGCTGACCTGTATAACCCTAACATCTGCAACCCCCTCAGCGTCGACCATAGAAACATACCTTGAAAAAAGCTAGCTCGATCTTAGTTGGTAACCTTAGTCTCGGTTTGGAAAGCTTGAGCTTGATCTCAGTATCGGCTCAGAGCAATTGAACTACGTATGCGTGCATTGGTCCCCACCACATGCCTATTTGTAATACTCCTGAGACGAAGATATCAAACGACGCACCCTAGGAACCGTTGGATCAGATTGATCCAACGGTCCAAAATCGACACCTATTCAAATTCCTTCCCTTAAATGCCCAACCGTTACAATTGAAGGGACACGTCGACACCTCTTCAAATTCCTTCTCTTAAATGCCCAACCGTTACAACTGAAGGGACACATTGACACCTCTTCAAATTCCTTTTGTTGCCCAACCATTATAGATGAAGCGTCACGTCTACCCTTTACGTCACTTTGCTCCTCAAGGTTGGGGGGCTTGTGTATTGGGAGGATCCTATCAGCCACGTGATACGGCACGTGATTTCCTATCAGCCACCGAGACAGCCGAGACAAAGGCTGTTCATACACTGGTCTCGACCATCTCAGCTGCTGAGATAACCGAAATATAGATACAACACGTGACGTCTTATCAACCACCGAGACGGCCAAGACAAAGGTTGTTCATGCACTGGTCTCGGCCATCTCGGACGCCGAGATAACCAAAATATAAGGACTCCCATAACTAGATCGACACGGCTTTTGGATACGGCAGCGGTCGTGATAACCAAACTTGCGAGGCTATCAAAGGCTTGGCCAGGGCAGCATAACTAGTTGGCCTGCCTAATGATATCTCAGCTCGGTAGAGGCCGGGACCCGAAAGGACAGCCCCAATCTTCACCCCTCGGCTCCGCCCACCA